TGCACATATTTTTTTGTTGCTGACACTATGTTTGATTTATGTTTGTCTGATGATTAATAGGTACCTACCAGTTTAAAACCCCTGAATCTTCTCCACCGGGAACGCCAATTGGCAGGATCAAAGCCAGTGACGCTGATGTGGGAGAGAACGCTGAAATTGAATACAGCATCACAGAAGGAGAGGGGCTGGACATGTTTGATGTCATCACTGACCAGGACACTCAGGAAGGGATCATAACTGTTAAAAAGGTGATGCTTTTTCTTAAATATCATACAAATAAGTGCATTTTGCTTTCTCTGGTTCCAAAGTTACTGAGGGCAATTACAACTCACCCCAACACTGTTTTTTATTTTTATTTTTCTAGTTATTAAGGAAAACACTGATTCACATTAACTGAGATCTCTTTAGTTGGCTTATAGAGGTCTAAAATAATTTTAAGCATTCACTATTTCCATATTTATAGTATTTTTTATTAAGAACTTCCTTAGAAATATAAACAAATTATATGCATAAATATAGACCAAGTAAATCATATAAATGAGCAATCAACAAACAATGCCAGACATTTTTCTAGGTGCTGAGTATGCAATGATGCATGCAACATGGTGGGCTTTGCTCTTATGGAACTTCCAATCTAGAGAGGGGAAGAGACAAGGAATGAAATGAGCAAACAAATAAACGTATAACTATAAATTGTAATATGAAAATTGTACTCTTAATTAGGGAGCTCTGGTAGAATAGTGCCTAAGGCACTTGACTGCTAACCAGAAGGCTGGCGGTTCAAACCCACCAGCCACTCCTTAAATACTGCCTCAAAAACCCAAGGAGGGGTGGCTATGAGTCAGGTCCAACTCGACGGCACATAACAACAAAAACAATAACAACAAATTGTGATACATGAGTTGGAAAACAGTAACACAGGCCTTAATAATTGAGGTGATCTGAAATAGAGAATATATAAAGATGGCATTTATTAATGTTCACAAAAATACTCACTACCTCTTTAGCTACTTTTCATATTGCAACAATGATAAATTTCTTATGTTCTGAATTCCTACTTTTCCCCTGTTTACTTACTTACTGTTTATCACCCTAAATTGTCTGAGGACCATAAAACAGTATATAAAAGTGTGACAAAAAATAAGACACAATAAATATTGTGCTAGGAACTACAATAGTATTTATTTTGGTTATGTTTTTAAATGACTTCACTTTTTTTCATTTATTGTGTAATATTTTTCTCTCTCTTATAGCACACTAGCATGTTTGCTGGTAAATATAATCATATCTGGATATAAATAACAGCATTCTTTTCTTAAGTTTTGGATTACATGTCTTAATATCTGGAACACAATAAAACATGTTTAAATGACACTCAGACCAACGTTTTATACTATAATATAATTAGGAAGCCCATTAGTGTGCATTAACCTTTTTTAATTTTCTTGGTGCCTTATCAGATTCAAACTGAAATATTGCCTTCCAGACTAAATCACATCCACTAACATCTTGATTAACTGGGTTCCTAGCGAGCCTTGTCATATTATCATCTAAAACTAGAAGTCAGCAATAAGCATTTGTATTCACTGTGTCTCCAGAAGCAGAGACACTTTTCCTAAAGACCTTTAACAACATTGATCATTACTTTCCTTAGCAAATAATTATCCCAATGCCCTTATCAAAATATCATTTGGGGTGTTGTATCATCTCATGCAAATAATAATAATAATAATAATAATCTATTAAAGGAATAGGGAATCCTGATGTAAACCTGTGGTTCTCAATTCTGGCTGCACATAAAATCACTGGAGAGATGATTAAAAATGCAGATACCCCATTGTTTAGGAAGCACTGAGTATGTGTTAATGATGATGGGGAATTTGGCAACAGATACAGGTGATGGTTGCCCAGTAATCAATGTTACTGAATTGCACATGTAAAAAATGTTGAATTGTCAATTGTTGAATCACGTATATTTTTATCACAATAAATGATAATAATACTGACTCCCATCCCCACTCCATGTATTCTGGTTTAATGGTCCAGGTGAAGATTAGACATTGGCAAATTTTAAAACCTTCCTCAGGTGGTTCTAATTAAAGCCAGATGTGAAAACATCTGACATAGAGTAATCTACTACATGTTTGCCACTTTGCCTCTGGCATGGTCACCTCTAGCCCAACATAAAGATTTGGAAGACAAACAAAACGAGGATCTGTAACAGGTTCCTGCTTCCAGATTCCCTTTCCTGCCCAACACGATGCCCTGCTCTCATCACTCACGTCCAAGTCAACATGAATGAACCCCAAGTTTCATCAGGATTGTGTGGCACCAAACTCCTTTGCAGACTTTATAATCGTTTCCCACCATATCATCTATCCAGAGCTCTGGTGGCATAGTGCCTAAGGCAGTTGGCTGCTAACCAGAAGGCTGGCAGTTCAAACTCACCAAGCACTCCTCAGAAGGACGATTGGGCAATCTATTTCCCTAGTGATGCCACCTCAGAAACCTATGGAGGGGTGGCTATGGAGTCTATGCAGAGGAAAAAAATAATTACACTTACCTTTCATGCCTTTGCCCAATATCATATTAATGAGTCATGAGTGCTATGATTACATTCATTTCTCAGTGATTTTCATGAAATAATGGTTCATGTCTTGGTCTTCTGTGCCTGAGCTGCTTGAAATTTGTCCCTTTCTCCCCAAGCTTCTGGACTTTGAAAAGAAGAAAGTGTACAACCTCAAAGTAGAAGCCTCCAACCCTCATGTTGAGCCTCGTTTTCTCTACCTGGGCCCATTCAAAGATTCAGCCACAGTTAGAATTACCGTTGAGGATGTAGACGAGCCTCCTATCTTCAGCAAACTGGCCTACATCCTACAGATAAGAGAAGATGCTCAGATAAATACGACACTAGGCTCGGTCATAGCCCAAGATCCCGACGCTGCCAGGAATCCCGTCAGGTAAGCACATTTCCACAGCATCTCTCTGTTAAAAGTTTCAGGTCACCAACTTGGAAAGGATGAGTCCCTTTTTTTTTTTTTCCTAATTAGACAGTTGTGTTTTCCTGAAAAACTACTCTAACCAATGTCTTTACTCTCCTTGGTCACTACATATTTTTTAGCAGTAGCATAAACCTAAAAAAAAAAAAAACATAGATGAGCTATAAAACACGTACTGATTACATGGAAGTAGTATAAGGTAAAGCAGTTGAATTGCCTGGAATGTGTCCTAAGGTCTTAGATTTGCCAAAGACCAAATACTGGAGGAAATACTGTGGTTTTCAACAAACAAGGCACAAGGCTTGAGAGTCTGTTTTTTGTTTTTTCAATATGGAAGAGCCTATCATGTAATACTGAAGGCAGAATTATGCTCCATTTGGAGATATATATATTTTTTTCTTTTGCAGACCTGAATGAAAACAAGAACCATTCATAATATATGTCTATGAAATCCTGGGGAAATTAATAGAGCTGAATCACAATTTATTCTATGTAAGCAAGCACTATTTTCCCTGTACTTCCCCTGCACCTTCATTGTAAATCATGCTCCAATAAAGATTCATTACTCTTTGGGGCCACTGATGCTTCAGAATTCTAGAATCTTACCCTGAGAGCACCAGAGTCAACCAATCTCCAGCCTTCAGCCAGCAGCTTAGTTGGCTAAATGAGAAAATTGCTAAGCCAGAATATTGTGTAAATGATTCCCCATAAATAATGTAAGCAACTTAAAAATCTAGAGGCACTCTTCTCCGGCAGTCCACACATATATTCTGGGCTTCTCTGTTGTATCCTTAGCATCGGGCATGTCTAAGCACTAAGGATACAGCAGAGAACAGTACAGATTTCTGAACTCCCAGAACTTACAATCTAATAGGGGCATGTTGATAATAAATAAATAAATAAAT